AAAAAGAAATAATAATTGAGAACTGAAATGGAGATTATCGAAAAGAAAATAATATTTGCTTTTGGTTTCTAATGAACAAGAACACAAGAATTATGAAATCAACTTTTCTGCTTATTGTTTGTTGATCTATTATCAAAGATTTAATTTGTTGCTAAGATATCTATAGATTTACTCTCATGTTTTTCTTGAAATTGAGTTTTAAGTTTTCAGAACAAAATATTTTCTATAAAGCTAAAGGAATCTTAAAGTTTGAAATTGTGTTAAGTGCATGTATTCTCGATGATGATAAGTTGTGATGAAAAGACAATATAATTTGAAATGCTTATTATAAAATAATTTTCTTTAAATCATTGTTCGGAATGAATTACTTTCATTGACCTTTTAGTGGTGTTAATATCTTGATTGAAATATTTGAAGTTTATTCACAACGATAAACATGCTGCGCAAAACTGACTTGTTATGCTTTTGAAATAAAGAAATATCTCTATCTAATAATCATAAATAATTAAGAAGGAGAAAGATTTTCTATGCATTGGTTACTTAGTCGAGTTCATTGTATGAGAAATGTTTGAATCCATGGGCAAATTTGTATTTGATGATATTTCTTCTGTGTTATAAAACAGTTCTTTTGTAAACTATTTCTTTTGAAAAAGAGAACCCTGAATGGAAAAGCTTTATCTTCGTGAAATGTATGTTATTTTGAGAAAAATACATCCAGTTTATTTAACATTATTAAGGTCAACATGATCTACAACTTCCCTTTCATATTACACACTTATATTGTATTAAAATATATATGAAATATGCGGGATAAAGATGATATCATCATTATTCTCAAATCATTCTAGTTCTTCTAAATATTCAATGACCACAGAGGGACACATCAACTATCAAATCAAATAAGTACATTTTAAGATAAAACGAAAAAGAATACTCAGCAAAAAACTAGAAAGAACTTTTCTATGGTTCACTATTTTGAAAAGTGATAAGCTAATTCAATAAGTAATCAGATAGAGAGACATCGAATGATCTCACAATATGTAATGTGCATTGAACTAGATGGATTTGAATAGAGGATCAATCTTCCCAAAGAGATATTCTCTTGTTCAAAGTTATTGTGACTGAGATGATCACTATTATCTCTCACAGAGAAACCATCGAGAATTCTTTTGATTGTGTGAAGAAAATCCAATTCAAACATCATTGATAAATTTAACAAGGATATGAGTGTGAACTTTGATCTCTAATGAATCACATTCTCATCCGCACCCACACCCTCAGTAGAGCGACGTAGTACTGAGTTAGTCTAGTTGGATTCATATTAGAAGTGTTGTAGTCTTGAGAAATATCTATTACTTCTCCGGAATAAGTAACATAATAAAACGAAATGTCGTATGCTAAACATGATGCTATAAATATAATGTGGTCTAAAATCACACTGCTACATACTATGCCGTCGTGCTCAACACTATAGTGTGTACCAACTATGCATTGAAATTAGACTATTTTTTATCAGCAGTGATGAGATGAACTTCACCCAGGCCGACACACTGCCGGAACTTGGAACCTGGACGAAGGTTCGGGGCCGAAATTTCCACCACCCTATGTAAACTGCATGAGTAAAATTGAAATGTTTGGATGCGATGCAAGCACACGACTCATTTCATAAATAAATCTCAATAGTCAAGCGACATGCTCATTTATCCCAGTCTCATCAAAAAACAATCAACTGGAAAGAAGTTTGTTGAATCAAACACAAAATTCGAGCATATCAATTTGTACCAGAAAATCACGAAAATGAGAGTAAGAAAATAAATTTTTGTTGGTCTGTATAAGATTGAACTGATTTTATCCGCGATTCACAACTCATACGAAAGCGGTTGCTAAAGAAAATTATGCATAGGAAACCGAAACAAATATCAACAATGGAGTTCGTTTTTTTAGTGCAAAGAAAAGGGCGTGGCTATTGGCATGTGTCAACAGAACACTAATATCCAAACTCCAGAGTCTGAAAGCGAAAATTTAGTTTGTCATTTTTGAAAAATTCATGTATGTTAAATGATAGCGCATGATGAACTTATCATTAATGGATAGAAACTATTTTTACTGAAAAAAGTATTTATCGTAAAATCGATACACTTTTCTGTTTACAGAACTCGAAAAGTTAGTCTTTTGTCGGCATTGACAGATTGATTTCACAAATATGCGCTTCAATTTAGAAGACCATATATTATCATAGTTATAGAGCATGATGGCACACAATCTCTAAAAACATTCTACAATTAGTATCATTCACTGATCAAGAATTACTCTACAAAATGATATAGTTGACTTGTCAAACAGAATATTTTCTGTTCTATAAAAAAGAATTAGATTCGGAAGAAACGTGCCAGATTAGTGATTTATGAAATCGAAACAGATTTTTCTTGGTCTGAATGACATATCACCTGAACAATTACAAGAACGTCTTCTTCATGCAATAGAAATTGTATGTTAATAAAAAATTTTATTGAACAACAACAACAACAACAATTACTTAAATAAATATTCGATCAAAAATATGAAAGAAGAGTATGTTTTTATTGTTCAATTGAATAATGAAAAAAAAATCTTGTTTTACTAGTCTTGTATTGAAAAACTACAAACAACATCGTTATTGAAGCAAATTGGGTAGGAGCTACAAATGAAAAAATGTACACATAATAATTAGGATGAAAAAATATATTTAGAAGATCCACAAGGTATTTTTATACATTAACGATGTGATCAATATAAACGATGTTGATAATGTCAACGTAATTTAAATAATCATGGTAAAAGTAATTTTTGACAAGATACACGATATATACCTGGAATGCATCATAGTTTAAACATTAATTGTCATTTGCACATGCACTATCCGATTAACCTCAATAAAAAGAAAAACATTCATATATTGATTCTGAATAACATACTTCTATATATTTTTTTTTAATATCTTATTCTCAAAAATAAAGTGCGCCAATGAATTCAAGAGTGCGATTACTTCAGAAGAGGTTGTATGGCGAATATGAATTATTTCGATTATACATATATGTATTTTTTTCTTTTTTTTTGTTGAACACTATTATTAATACTATGAAATCGACTTGTATGAATGCATCTATTCTGAACATTACAAAATGTGTATATCTACTCGCTCTCATTCGCGCAACATACGATGTCTTTCGTCTTACGTAAATTGAATGCAGTAGAAATAAAAAGTAAAACGAACGGTACATCAGTAGTTACTCAGTTACATACACGACACTAACATCAATCAAGCATGCAACAAGCATATGATATATTCGTATAAGCGGATACTTGATAACTATATTTTGAATGAATAACGGCGACAAGCAACTCAATCGGTAATCGGCATATCGTTCGACCTGCTGATTTTTTTGTTTAGATTACTAAAGGTAAGAGACATGCGACGGCATTATTTCATAAGCATAGTAAAAAAAAAAAAAAAAGAAGCCATGACCTTGATCCCATTCAGAATACAATAGTTCATGCTCGATTAATTAACATATTATGAGAGAGTGTTAACATGAGAGAAGAAGAAAAAAAACGACAATTTTTGTATTTGAAGGTTCACAAAAGAAAAAGAAAAGAACACAGAAATGAAAAATGAGAACGACAAAAATATATTTTATTATACATAGGCATGTTTTACTTGTCGTATGACATCATATAACAGAGAAGAATCTATAATCAAATGATTAAAATCGCTTATGCTTTCCATCCATTTCCGGCTAATTGCAAGCCATCATGTGATGCTAGTAAGATATTTTTTTTATTTGAAATAGATTAAAAATTGAACAAGATATATTATTTTAGCTTTACCAGCTTCACCAAGTTGGCATCATCCATTACCAACATCTCCAGCTGTTCCATTAACAAATTCAAATACACAATCAACAACAATTTATGTTAATTCTATTCCATATAGTGTTATTCGTTTACTTGGTGAAGGACTTCATAGTCGTGTTTATGCTGCATATGATTCTCGAACAGGTCAATCTGTAGCAATAAAAATCGTACAAAATATTGATACCAATGATAGTCATGAACATTCAAAAATATTTTTTAAAGAAATACGTTATTTAACTAAATTACAACCACATAATCCATATGTTATACGTGTTTATAATCATGAATATAATAAAAAATCTCAAACGGGTAAAATTGTTATGGAAACTGGACATGATTTTCGTTTTATGTTACCATTACAAGCACCACCTAATAAAAAAAAGATGACAAATGCACAAATAAAATATTATTGGTATCAAATGGTTGAAGCTGTTGCTTTACTTCATCGATATGGAATTGTTCATTCAGGTACATATAAAAATTTAATTTTTAATCAAAAAAAAAAAAAATTAAACCTATTTTCTAGATATTAAACCGGAAAATTTTATAATGACACATGGTGGTCAACTTCGTATTATTGATTTAGGTCTTTCATTTCGTTTATCACATGCACAACAATCTGTATTGAGACCATTTGCAGGTGGAATTATTTTATTAATCTTTCTTTATATTTAAAATTCTGATAAAATATTCAAAGGTACACCAGAATATATGCCACCTGAAGTATGTCAAATACAAAATGGTCAATATTCTCGTCAAGGTCGAGCATCAGATATTTGGGCACTTGGTTTGTCAAAATTTATTGTTAAAAAAAAAAAAAAACTTTTTCTGTTTTTATTTTCATAGGTGTTCTTTTATTTGAAATGGTCTTTGGTTATCGACCATTTGAACATGTTCAAGATAATTATGATAAAATGTCTTATATAGCTCGATTAACACAAAATCCAAGTATTCCACCTCTAACTAATAATCATTTACGTGATGCCCTACAACAATGTTTACAAATAAATCCAATTCATCGTCCAAATGCAGAACAATTATTACAACATTCTTTTTTTAGTAATTGATAAATGAATTTATTAATTAAAAAAAAAAAAAAAGACTATTCATTTTGTTCGAATTGAAGTATTTGATCGAAATGTGTTTGATAGTAGTTGTTGTTTTTTATTCTTTATTTGTCTTGTTTTTGAAGATATTCGTTTAATAAAAGAAGGTTTTTTTAATCGAATTAATTTACCTTGTTTTTTATATAAACGTTTTTTAGCAAGATATGCTCGATATTCATAATTATATTTCATTCGATTAGACATTTTTTTCCAACGTTTAGATAAACATTTATTTATATCATTAATTGACATTTTTCGATATTTATTCATTAATTTTTGACGTTCATCTTTTAAATAAATATGAAATGGTGTTATTGTTATTGGTTTTTTAATTATTAATTTCTTATTTTTTGAAATAAATGTTTTACATGAACTTATAGTTTTAGTATTTAATTTTTCATTCATTTATTATTAATACGATTTAATGGATATTTTAAGTTTATTTCTAATGATTCACAATTTATCAAATCATTGAATGTTTTTATTTTTGATGATGGCAATATACTCTATTAGATAATAATAAAAATATTATATATTCAATTCAAACAAAAAAAAAAAAAGAACATAGAAGATTATTTGATATATATATCTATATTGAAAGTAGACAGTCGATAGGATTTGATTTATGTTAATATAATGAATATGACCACAATCGATAGTTGTAAGATATTTAATATCTTCTAGTAAGTTTCTATATAATAAAGAAAAATTTATTCGACACAATTCTATTCAATAGAAAAGTACATTCTAAATCAAAAAATATATGTTCATTCGTATGTCATTGAATTTAATCAAAATTTATTGCATTTTTTCTCGGTCAATGCACTTCATTTGTATTCTTAATATGTTTTTCGAAGTACATGAATTATCGTCTTCTTTTTCTTTTTCATCATAAACGATAATTACACCTTTCTATAGTAATTATATATAATCTTTACATGCCAATTGTGTCGTTGTAAAAAAAAACAAAGAAAACACCTTAACATAACATTTTAATACGAGACATAGGAAGAAAGTATTTTAACCTTTTTTTTTTTTTTTTATGTACGATTATTAACTGTCGGACATATGAATATACACATACGATATTATTCATTCGAAAACAATCATGACCTTGCTTATTTTGACCTACACATCTCTTCTTCTATATTCATCGTCTATCGGGTACTTTAATAAATAAAAAAAGAACCAACAAAGAATAGCATAGTGGTACATTTTCAAAACATTACTATTAGAATTAATGAAACAATTGAGTCTTATCTTATTTCTGCGGAAATATTGTATTTCTAGTGAAATTCTCAAATCTTTTCGTTATTTCTATCCTAAAATATAGCGATGGTAAAAGCAGGTCTTCTACATCTCTTATATACAATAATATGATTGTTGTCTAGACGATATTTGCTATTCACTCCTTATATGTACTCATAAAGAGCAAGTTTGATTGTAAAGCAGCTCTATCCTAGGTACAACAGTCGAAGTATTTCATATAAACTGATACATCTAATATTCTTATTTTCGGACCAAAAATAAATCAAAAGATGTGAAACTTTCACAATAAACTATTTGCGTCAAAACTTGTCTTTGTACAAAAGTTTCAAGTTACAATTCCAAAGTCAATTTTCTTAAGCGAAGTCACTACATTCGTTTAGTACAGTCTCTCTCTGCAGTAATAAGTCAAGGATAGAGCGTCTTTTCAGGATATTCATAGCTCATTGAGTCTATACAATGCACATAGCCTTGACACAAAGGTGATTTATCAGTTGGAAGGATTTCTACTATCCTATTACAGAAATTTATTGAAAGTTATAAAAATGTTGTTAAAAATTAAGTTTTCTATTAATTATCTTTCCATTAGAAACTTATCTCAAAATTTCAAATAAATTTTATCAATTTTATAAAGTAAAAAAAATCAATTAAATTAATTTCAAAAAAACAAGTTTTTACATGTTTTTGTTTTTGTTTTTTTCTTGAAATCAATACGTACATGATTACTTTCTTGACTTATTTCTTCAAGAAAATTAGATAATGAAATTTTTTTATCATCAGTTAAACGATGCCATATATTGTATGAAGCATCAAGAAGTTGTTCAAATTCAAAATGAAGTTGAGGATAAAAATTTTTTATATAAATATTCAATATTTTGTCTAGAATATGGAAATAAATCGATTTTGTTTTTTTTAAATTACAAAAAAACAAAACTATATTTACTGAAATCTGAATAATGTCGACAATATTCATCTAACATAGCAGTTCCAGTTTGTTGTTGTTCTTCTTTTGAAATTTGATGCATTATATTATTGTTCATGTATGTATGTTTGATTAACAAAAAATACAACAAAAGATAGAGTGAAGTTACTAAGACTTTTTTGTTTCAAATAAATCTTGGCGGCAATTTTAAAATTGTGTTAATAGAAAATTTATTTTTTCTAGATTATATACTGCAAATACTAATAGTTTTCTATAATAAAATAAACTTCGTTGATGCCAAGCTGAATAATCAAAGCTTACGTATATTTTTAATTAATTAATTAAGTAGAGTTCAATTGAATGACAGTATCCAAATATTTTTCGACATATTTAAAGTGTTGTCAGATAATCTAATAAATAGCAGTCATCTATGAAGACATTACACATAAATAGAGAGAGGAACATTAAATATTTCTAGACATACGGGCACTTATTAAGAATATTTTCCTATATTTTCTTCGAAAATATTGATATCGATTGTATAGTTGATCAAGCAAGTTTTTTTTTCTGAATTTTTAAAAATACTGATCGTCGATAAAAATTTAACGAATCTGAACCGAAGGAAGAAATGGGGGAAGTTAGAAAATGTGATTTTCACCTAAACGTCCTTAATAGATGGCCTTTTACAGAAGATATAATACTAGTTTATATTTGTTTTCTAATTTTATTAAAAGAATAATAATTTTAACCAATACCAAAACATAGTACCCATCATAATTGATCCTATATCTAATCTTTTTTTTTCGTAATCTTATCATTCTTTATATTCGAAGCGTATAAAATCATACATCATTATTTAGCAGTCACATATACTTTTTGACTGCTCTACATAAGAACAACTGCTTATGATTGATTGACGTCATGCATGTACTGTACTAACGAGGGAGTACCCCTAGGTGAAGCTCCGCTTTTGACGTGATATTCTGCCCGTATATAGACCTTAGTGAGACTAGAAAAACTCTAAAAAGGTTTGGGTTTCTGACGCTTCCTTCTTGAGCTATGACCGTTTGAGCAAAATTTTGGCCCTATGGTAGGTACTTTCGAAAAATTTCATTTGAAGAATTTTGATCTGAAATTTTGCCGGCAGGTAGCTCTTATAGATATTAGATTACCCTGAAAGTTTCAACAAAAACGAATGTATCCTTCGCGATATATTCAATTGGCAAAAAATCGGCATTGTCATACGAAAGATACAATAATTGAGTTTCCTGTAAATTCAATATCTCGCGAAGGATACATTCGTTTTTGTCGAAACTTTCAGGATAATCTAGTATCTATAAGAGCTACCTGCAGGAAAAATTTCAGATCAAAATTCTCAAAATGAAATTTTTGGAAAGTACCTACCATAGGGCCAAAATTTTGCTAAAACGGTCATAGCTCAAAAAGAAAGCGTCAGACACCCAAACCTTTTTAGAGGTTTTCTAGTCTCACTAAGGTCTATATATGGGCAAAATATCACGTCGAAAGCGAAGCTTCACCTAGGAGTGTTTCCTCGTAAGTGTCTTCAATACATAGTTCGATTAAATATTATGAATACTTAATTGAACTATGAATCTTACTGAGGTTCAGGTGAATCGCAACAAGCGTTCATATCTACTTCAGAATAGTCAATTCCCATAAATAATAGTTGGTTTTTGTTTTTTTTTTTTTGAAAAATAAGTACAACAGTTTTGTAGAACAAAAAATTCTATATCAAAACACATGCTGTAAGTATATTGGAGTTATACAAAAAAAAAGATAATTTTGTTCTATTTAATCTACGCCAACGATGATGATATTCAAAAATTTTCTTTTTTCTTTTGTGTATGATTAAAAGATATATTTAATATTTTCCTATCTATTGATGTCATGTTATATAAGTATTATGATTGACAAAAATGTTTTTTCATTATTAAGAAATAAAATTTAATTTTGTTTCATTGTCTTTTGTTTTCTATATTATTGAACAACAATCGAGTTTTATATTTAATGACAAAAAAAAGAAACATGAAATACAAAAAACAAGATTATTTTATTAATGTTTACCATTCATCATCATATTCAAATAATTTTTGTCTTTTAATTCCTCGTGTTTTTTCTTTTTGTTCAATTAATTGTTCAATTGTTGGACTTATTTTATTATCTAATAATAGATCATTATAACTTCTTGTTGGTTTTATAGATTTTTCGGTTGTATCAGAAGATATTTCGACTGTCTATAATAAATATAAATAAAGAAAATTTTAATTTCAAAAATTTTTTGACTAAAAAACTTACAGTCGTAGTTATTGTTATTTCTTGTGTTGATGTAACTGCATCTTTATCAATATAAGTTCGTTTATTAGATTTTCTATTATTTGGATCAATATCAAATAGATGATTAGGTTCTTTAATTTTTATTGTCGATGGATCAATTCGATTATATTCTGCATAAGGTATAATTGTTAAATTTTTATCATTTGCACGCATTTTTGTTAACACTAAAAAACAAACGCAATTATTTTTAGTAATTTCTATTTTTGTGATAATATAATCTAAAAGAAGTGTTGAAATATAGAGTTCTAAATTTAGACACCCCTCTGCAGATGCCTTAGCAAGATTCTCTCTCCTTCATGACAAACACTTTAGCAAAAATTCCTCCCTCCTGCGCCTAGAGCCCATCGAGTCCTACGCGGACCCGCCGGGTCCGGGTCCAAAAATTCGTGGACCCGATGGGCTCTACCTGCGTCACAAATCTTTTTGATATATGATCAAAGACTGTGTATCAGTAATGTGTTGTTATTTAATATGAACTTCCTTACTGCATTTATAGGGGATTACGTATGGTCTACAGGGATTGTGCTAACAGCCTTTTTGTTTTTTGAATATTTACTTGTCTCTATTGTATCTTTTTTTAATGATACTGCAAGAATATGTGTTGTTAAATCGAATCGATCATATGAAAGAAGATTCCATTGAGAAAAAAATTCTCGTATATTTGCTGTTGACCATGTTTGAGGATGTATTACATAAAAGACACAAGATCGATCAGGTAAATCTTTAATAACAAAAACAAAAAAAAAAAGAAAATTTTTAAATTTCTTCTGATAAAATATTATTTATTTACCATCATCATTCAACATATCAGAATATTTCAAATCAAATGAACGCATATAAAATAATCTAAAGAATTTTTATTTTAATATTTTATATAAAAAAAAAAAAAACATATTTCAAACTTACTTTCCAATAAACGTATTAATTAATGTATGTTCAATAGGATTTTCTTTAAATTCAGTTTTTTCAGCTGAAAAAAAATACAAATAAATAAAAACAAGATAAATTTTTTCTTTTTTACCAATATATGCCATCATTTTTGTCATACATACAGCTGTACAAGTAGCATCATAACCAGCTGTATGTTCATGTTCACCCGATGCATACCGAAAATCATCAGCAGTTTCTAAAGAGAGAGAGAGAGAGAGAGAAACAAAATGATATCTACAAATATATTGAAAATTTTATATTATTTTATACCAAAACGACATGCTGGAAATGATGGTTCACGTATTGTTTTATAAACAGCATTCAATGCTGTATTTGAAATAATATTCTAATAATTAAAAATTGATTTAAATATATATATATATTTTAATATGATTAAAAATTTTTTTTTTTACTTGAAAAATTGATGTTGATGCAATTGTTTTTGTATCGATTAACCTTTTTTAAACAAATATTTAAGAAAATCAATATTGATTAATTATTAAATATATATATATATTTACTTAGGAAATAAAGATTTAACAATAGATTTGTATTCATCATAAGACTAAAATAAAAAAAAAGAATTATATAATGATAATCCAAATTCAATAAACATACAGGAGGTATAGGTGTAAAAAATTGATTGATTATATGTAGCATATCCATATGAACATTATGTCCAATCACAGGTTTGCCCTAAAAAATAAATAATTTCTAATCTAATCTTAACACTCATTAATTTGGAAATAGAAGGTGTCAAATCGATCATAGGTCAAGAGCGTAACTCGATTTAAAATAATTTTGATGAGGAAATATCTACATATGTCGAATGCTGATCAAACTTATCTTGAACTTATCATAAAAATTCGAATTCATCTCATTTTATGAAAACTTGAATTATACGATTTTCATATAAAAATTCGTTCATAGATGAATCTGAAAGTTACTCGAATTGTATTTTCAGATGAAAATCTCTTAATTTAAGTTTCCATGAACACATGATTTAAGGACTGAAAACTCTAATAATAAGATCATAACTCTCATTGAATAGTGTATGAATCTTACTAACTTCTACTTAGAACTTCAGATGACATCGATCATTCTTCGACAGTAGAATATATTAGATTTTCAACAGCCATTATCTGTAACTGAAAAAATTACTGTTAAACAGATTTAGATTAGAAATGAAATTGATCGATAATCAGTATCGATTTCATCTCTGTTCTATACTTCATAAATTCAAAACAAAAAAATATTCTTTTTGTCATCATTTGTAATAAACTATCAGTATCAACAAAATCACTTACAGATTCTTGTAGTTTCCTATAAAACAAAAAAAAACTTCTAAATCTTAATCCAATAAAAAATATGAAATGAAAATATACCAAATAACTTCTGAAAATCCAGTCATTGATTTTTTTAATAAATCTGCATCTGACAAATTATTAATTTCAGATTGTTTTGGTGAATTTGTCATTGTTTCAGATTTTCTATTATAATAAACAAACATTCTTTATTAATATAATAATAATAATAATAATTTAAAATTATTTACTTTTCATTATTATTATTATTACCATTAGGTATCTGACGATTATTATTACGACGTGTTAATGATGTTAATTGTGAATTTTTTAATTTTTCTAAATGTTTTGTTCTACAAACAAAAGGAATTCCTAAAAGAAAAAAATCTTGAATATATTATAAATATATTTTAATTACCTTTGAGAAATAATTGAACAAAATCAAAACGATTAGCTGCTAGAAATTGTAATGATGAACTCTAAAATTTATAAAATATATAAAAAAATTTTTTTTTTCTTTTGAATTCAATTTTACTTTTGATCGAAAATCAAATGCATCTGTTTCATTTTCAGGAAATAAATAAAAATTATAAGCTTTTAATGAATATCTAAAATATAAAAAAGAAATTTTCATGTTTCTTTTTTTTTTTTTGATTTTACCGATTTTCTGTTGGATTTAAACATCGAACCATTGCAAGACCCACTTGAACCATTAAATAATGTCTATCACACTGAAATAAATAATTCAAAATTTTTTAAATATTTATATGAAGAAAAAAAAAATTTTTTGTTTTTTTGTTTTTTACTTCATAATGACGTTTATATCGTTCAGCTGGAGTATCAAAATAATTCATTTTATCAAATGCTAATATTCCTGTAAATTCACCGTCAATTGCTACATAATCAGCATTATTTATATCATTTAAAATTTCTGGTAAAACATCATAAAAATCTAAATAAATAATAATAATTATTATTATTATTACAATAAAATTATTCTAATTTTAATATAAACTTACTATCACGATTAACATCCATTGATAGATCGAATTAAAGTTAATTGATAATATTAAAAAAAAATCTAAAAATCAAATAGAATTCTATAATTAAACTTTTTTTGTTTTTGTCTCCCATTGACATTCGATTATTTCAAAAAACAACAATCTAACGACTTTGATTTCATTGGTTGCTGATGTAACTTGCGAATTTCTTGCGACATTACTTTTCTATTCTATTATTCTTACACTTTTTCGTAATTGTAATAAATTATTTACAACGAATGCATCATCAATAAACATCTGGTCAACAAAAAAACGGTATATGTTATTCAAAAGTAAAACATTTTAGAGAGATCATTAGATTTTTGTTTTTATTTTATTTTATTTTAAAAGAAATTTCACATATTAATCTTTTTGTTATATATAAAGATTATAATGATTGAAACGAGAGATTAAATTTAATTCGATGTAATTTTGATGCTTAAAAATATAGTTAAGATGAAATTAGACAGATTTTATTTTTTGTTTTTTAAATAATTACACATTCACAATAAAAGTTTTTATTTTTCACATTTCCATTCGATAATTCATTCTAAAAAATAAAAATAAAAAACCATAAGTTTTTTTTATCGTGTTAATTAATTGTATAAAATAAATTAATTAGAAAAATTAACTTTCATTTCGATTTCTACATGATTCTTTTGTTCTATTTATATGATCATCCTTCATCTTTTTCAAGAGCAATTTGATAGACAACTAATCTCAATTGATTACAACATGTCCGAATTTTCAAATATTCTCTTAGTAAATAGTCAGTTTTCGGTCAAATTCATTCTATTCCATTAAGGAATATGTAATTTTTTTTTTAAATAAATTTACATAACTTAATAATTTTTCGAAATGTCAAGAGTTTAATTAAACATAAAAAAAGAAAAAAACATTCTAATAATGATATCTATTAGTAATATATTTCGAATAATATAGATTACAAGGTTATATCCGTATTCTCATGATAATATTTTGTTTTGTAATCATATGTTTACAATATTATTTAATTTGTTCCAGCAATTTGAAGATCCTCTTACTTAATTATTTTTTTTCCAAATGGGAATTCACCCGTATCTATATGTAAAATAGTGACTATGGTACAAATAATTGCATAAGATAATAAAATATAAAGATTAAAATTAATCGAGGAAGAGCTCCCAGAACGTATTTTTTCATACTCTGTATTTTACAGTATAACATAGTTTATCTTTCAATATTAATTTAAACATTAAATAATAAATCAAATCCATAATTCAATGGTATTGAAATAGATGAATAGTTTTTTCTCTTACCATCATAATGTTCATCGTTATAAAATGTGTACATAATGAATGATTGATGTTAATTGTTAACTATACAAATCCAAAAAAAAAAAGAAAAAAAACGTTCTGTTCATTTTCATCAAAACTTTTTGGTTTTTTTTAATGCATATTATAATCGATTATAAATGATGTATTATTCATGCAAAATGAGCTATATTACAGACGATTATTGAATCGTCTTGGTATATTGCATCATTTTTTATTAATAATAAACAATCTGTAACAAAAAGAGAGAAAAAAAAAAAAAAAAGGAAAAATTTTATAATTTATTTGTATGTGGTTTTTTTTGTTGCTTTCCAAGTGTTAAATGTATGTTTAAGGATAACATTAAAAAACATGTAATGTATGCATGGGAACATAAAATATATAATATTGGTTTTTTTTTTTGCAAAAGCTTGGTTGAGAATGAACAATTTTAGTTTTTTTTTTTTAAACGATCGAGAAGAAAGAGATAAAGAAAAGTGACAACACCGAGAGAGACAAAAAAAATCAGAAAAAAAAAAAAAAAAAAAAAAACATCTGAGATTGTTCAATTTAACTAGATGCTTTAGTCGCTCGTGCACTGGTTTTTCGTGGTGATTCTTTTGCTTGCTGTTGTTGTTGTTGTTGTTGCTGCTGTTGTTGTTGTTGTATTGATTGTGATTGTTGTTGATAAATAAGTACATATGCTGATTTACTAATAACATTATTTTCATCAATATCAGTAACACATGAATCATCAAATGTATGCCATTTTTGATCATGTATATTTTTTGCATGTGCTGTATAATGTCCACCACCTAAACCACCCATATGATTACTAACAGCAATAAGATCATATTTTGCATTTAATTTTTCAGTTGGATTAAGAACAAATTGTGATAAATCTAAATCATATATAGGACAATCAATAAATAAATCAATTTTATCACGATAATGTCTTGTATAATTAAAACGTTTTAATTGTACAATTAAAACTTTAGGTAATAACCATAGATCAATTTTTTTTGATGCATTTTTTAATTGTTTACATTTTGGACAATACCATTGATCATTATCAGATAATGTTTCTTTAGTTGTAAAATATTTAAAACAATCTAATAATGATGTTGTTGATTGTTTATGTTGACTACGTGTTTGTACACCACTATTATTTGTTGATGTTGATGATGATGATGATGATGTTGATTGTAAATTTTCTTTTTCTAAACGTTTTTTTTCTTCTTGTTCATATTTTTCAACAATTGTTGATGCAACATCAACAACTAATGTTGTATTTGTACGATTAAAATCAATATGATCATCAAGACATGATGTTAATGGTTTTGTTGTTTGAGTATAATTTTGATTAAATACACATGATGCTGTATAAAGAGATTTATCCGATGATTGATTTGAATGAGATGGTGGTAATGGGAGAAAATTACCAATTGAATTCTAGAATAATATTAATTTATATAAAAAAGAATTTATAATTAAAAGAAAATATTTTTACTTGTAAAGCATCTTGTATATGTCTTCCTGTACATTTATGTCTTGGTATATTAAGATAAATTGGTAAACCAAAATTTTGATGTAAACTATCAGCTGTACGAAATAAACATGGCATAAGTATAGTTTCATTATTTTCTTTTTTTAATGAAACAGGTACTTCATAAAAAACAATTTGATCACGTTCAAGTATATTTGTTAATAAAGCATCATCACTATATTGTAAATGTATACGATGATTATATACTTCAACAGGTAATATTAATTCAATTTTTGGTTGATGTCCATCATAATCTGATGCTAATGTTAAATCATCTTCTTGTTCATCATCTTGATTATTTGAATTAATTGTATTTAATAATAAATCATCATCAGCATCCATTGGTTCATGTATATTATGTTTTTGTTTTGGTTGAAAACGTTCACAAAAATCTTTTAATAAATTATGCATACGACCACGTTCATTTGATTTAATATAATAATATTTTATTTGTCCATTTAAACGTACATATTCAATTTTAAATATACGTATTTTTTTTTTATTTGGTAATGGTAAACTTAAAAAACAAATTGGATCAAATGTACGTCCAGATGTTTTACAATCAAGACATTGTACAACAGATTTTATTTGTCCATGAAATATATCATGTATTTTTGATTGATTACGTTTACGATAATAATCCCATTGTTCAGATGCTAATTTACTATCTTCAACAATACCATCATCATCTTTTTTTTCCATATATGGTTTTTGTTTAATTAAATTTAAATCTTCATGTAAACCATCAAGTAAAAATGACATAAATTCTTGTGAATCTTGTTGTGAATAACCACTAAATTGTGGTGCATAACGTGCAACATTTTGTTTTAATGATTTAGGTGCATAATAATTTATTTTACCTGACCACATATTTGCTATTAAATCACCATAGGCTTGTGCAACATCACCTTTCATACCTAATGGATTATCACGATTAATATGTTGTAAATATTCACGTCGAAGAAAATATTCTGTTAATGATGGTACATTTGATATACATTGTAATGCTGAATTCATAAAACATGTATTACCTAAATTAGATAGACCACATAAACCAGGTGTATAAAATGTACCACTTGGTATAGGTGATAAATTATTTCTTGTTAATATAATTGGTTCATATGTAATTAATGCATTTTTTGATAATTCAATATCGGATAATGTTATACCTGGACGAATATCAATTAATTCCCAATTATCACTATATTCATCTGTTGATGTATATAAACGATAATTTGTATATGTATCAGATATAATAGAATATATTTTACATATATCATTTTTTAAATCATCTAATTTTGTTCGACGACTACGATATATTTGTTTTGTTGTTGATATATTTTGTCGTGTTTTACGTATACGTAATGGTATAAGATATGTTTCAATTATTGTTTGATAATCACCTGTTGGTATTACTTTACGAATTATTTCTGTACCAATTTTTGTATATGTTTGTACAAGATCTTGATAAAGTTCATATGGAATAAATGTATAATCATTACCTTCAACAATATCTAAACGTAATTGTACACCATCAGGATGATCATTTGTTAATGGATCAATTAATTTTGAAAAATCAATTGGACCTGGTGGTGTTGTTTTATCTGGTGGTGAATCAATACCAACAAAACGTTTCCAATTTTCAAACCATTTAGCATCAATAATAACATATTTATCATTTTCTTGTTGTTCACGTGATAATATTTTTATATATTGATCAACTGGATTTGATGGCATTATTTATTTATTTAGATTGGTTTCTTCTTTTTTTTTTGATTATTTAGGATAGTAGAAAATATTAAGCGCGAAATATAAGTTAATATTTTAAGAAATAAGAAAAATCTAGAAATGAGTCAATATGTAAAATATAAAAATTGACGATTGTATCTTTTGTTTGGAGAAAACAATGTGCAATAGGAGAAAAGATGAAAATATATATATCAAGAAACATTACGCGAGTTATAAGCAAATTTTAGCGATGTGTCAGTATACCGATGAAGAGAAGCTATACCATGAAATAATCATACTAATAGACAAAACTTATTCGTTCATTATTACTCATGAATATAATAATAAAAAATACAAAATGACGATATTTATAAGAATAAAAAAAAACAAGAAAATTTGAAATAAAAATGCATAGATGACTTAATAAGGTATTTTATGGATTGAAGAAAAAGTAATCCAATATAAGTTTTTTCCTTTTTTTTTTTTTTATACTCATATTGAAAAACATTTTCCATCTATCTATCCTTTATTAAAATAAAAAAAAAAAATGATCGGTGGTGTTTTTATCTATAATCATAAAGGCGAAGTTCTTATATCAGTAAGATTATTTAAAAAACAAAAAATAAATTCTTAATAAATTTTTCTTTTTTTTTTTAGCGTGTCTATCGTGATGATATAGGACGAAATGCTGTTGATGCATTTCGTGTTAATGTTATTCATGCTCGACAACAATCACGTTTTCCAGTTGTTAATATAGCACGTACAAGTTTTTTTTATACAAAACGTTCAAATATATGGTTATGTGCTGTTGCTAAACAAAATATAAATGCTGCTATGGTATTTGAATTTTTAAATAAAATGATTGATATAATGCAATCATATTTTGGTAAAATAAGTGAAGAAAATATTAAAAATAATTTTGTTTTAATATATGAATTATTGGATGAAATACTTGATTTTGGTTATCCACAAAATAGTGATACAGGTGTATTAAAAACATTTATAACACAACAAGGTATAAGACCAATAACACGTGAAGAACAAACAAATGTAACATCAGCTGTAACAGGACAAATTGGTTGGCGTCGTGAAGGTATTAAATATCGTCGTAATGAATTATTTCTTGATGTTATTGAATCTGTTAATTTACTTATGTCACAACAAGGTCAAGTATTAAGTACACATGTTGCTGGACGTGTTGTTATGAAAAGTTATTTATCTGGTATGCCAGAATGTAAATTTGGTATAAATGATAAAATAACAGTTGAAAATCGTACTAAAAATCAACAATTAGATACAACAAATATAAATAATACAACAAATCCAACTAAAACATCTATTGCTATTGATGATTGTCAATTTCATCAATGTGTTAAATTATCTAAATTTGAATCTGAACATTCAATATCATTTATACCACCTGATGGTGAATTTGAATTAATGCGTTATCGTACAACAAAAGATATTAGTTTACCATTTCGTGTTATACCATTAGTACGTGAAATAGGTCGTACAAAAATGGAAGTTAAAATAGTTGTTAAATCAAATTTTAAACCAACACTTATTGGACAAAAAATTGAAATACGTATACCAACACCACCAAATACATGTGATGTACAATTATTATGTATGAAAGGTAAAGCTAAACATAAATCATCTGATAATGCTATTGTATGGAAAATGAAACGTATGGGTGGTATGAAAGAATCTCAATTAAGTGCTGAAATTGAATTATTACCAAATGATAAAAAAAAATGGAATCGTCCACCAATATCAATGAATTTTGAAGTACCATTTGCACCATCAGGTTTTAAAGTTCGGTATCTTAAAGTATTTGAACATAAACTTAATTATTCAGATTCTGAAACTATTAAATGGGTACGTTATATTGGTAAAAGTGGTTTATATGAAACACGATGTTAAAATTAATATGAAAAAAAAAAGAATTAAAATTCTTCTTCTTCTTATTTTTTTTTTTTGTTCCATTTCTGTTGACTTTATTTTCTTATATTTACATTCCGTATTTCAAACAACAGATTTCTTCTTACATTTATATATAAAATCTTTTTTTTCTTTGGTATGATCATTATTTATGTAGAATATATATATATATAAAATAAACTTTCCAATTCTTCTTGTCTTATCTCTAATTAAACAAAAACAAAAAAAAACCATTTTCAATTATGAAATTCGATGCTAAATTAGATTTTACAAATGATAAATAGTTCTAGTTTTTATTTGTAAAATAATTTCATTGTTTACATATGATATAAAATGAATGAAACAAAAAAAAAAAAATATTTATCGAACTGATTTATGTTGTTATATAATCTCTTTTGACATTATCATTATAAATGAAATTCATGTATATTATATAACTGTAACTTGATATATATATGTGTTAAGTTCATATAATAATTAGTTTTATGATGATGTTAGTTTCTAAATTTGATATGAGATTTACAAAAAAAAAAAAATGTAAATTAATGTTATGAATAGAAAGAAAGTTGTTAGAACAAATTCTATAATATTAAAATATAAAACAGGATGTAATTATTGTTGTTAATCATAGAGAGAGAAGATTTTATTCTATCTATTTTTGGATACATTTCTTTATACTCTAGAAATACAATAAGAAGATAGTTTATATTGTAACAAGATGTGTGTTTTTTTTTATCATACATCAATCATGTCGGCCATGGAGAGGAGGTAGGTCGGAATTGCTAATTGTATAGTTTAACACGCCTCTTTTGAGAAGATGTTTCATAAAAAAAAAAAAGAGTATCTGAGATAGTCTATCGAATTTTGTCCTAGGAGAGAAGTTTACTCGAAGGCTATGTACCAGAGATGGACAAAGTCGCACCGTGCCATTGCTCACACCTACGCTACACTACTCTGAACTTCGATGAGCGCATGTTTAGAGCATCCCGGTATTCGGTGGAGTTTGAGAAACTGATTGATAGAGCAAAGAGAAAGAGAGATATGCGTAGCGCCTCGGCGCGGGGAGGCGCGGTGCGACTTTGTCCATCTCTGCTATGTACAGCATGTGAACTATGAATATTTGAAAGTTGAGAAATACTTAAAAAAGAATCGATTATCGAATTCACACTTAAAACTTTGCACAGAGAGAGATCGTAATGAGAATAGTTTATTATGAGAGTTAAAAATTTTCTCGCAGATCTCTCAGCGATATTACATTTGCCTTGATATTTTGCGATCTGTTGATATTAGAGTTTGTCAAGATCAACATTTTCTAACTCGAATTAGAATCGTTTGAAAGATACAAGATACTTATTTTTTTGTAATTATTTATATTGAATGATTAGTGCATTTTCGATCTGGTTATCGGAAAATTTTCAAATTCAAAACTAGCCCAACGAATTCGAATTATGTAAAAAGGATATCCTGATAAAGTTGGATTTTGGCCGAATTTCAATGCTGACTGTATGGTTTTTTTCAGCGCATTTATATATATATCCACGACTTGTCTATCGTTAGATGTCACTAATATCCTCATTAAGTTCGACAGCTTCTTAAAAATAAGAGAAGTAAATTAAATAATAAATTCTGATTTTATTTGAAAATTATTTTTCAAAGATAAATTCAATAAAATTTAGAAGATCTATAATCATCATTACAGATGTAGTTGCCAAGATACTTGACATTTAGTAAAATAGATAGGACTGAATCAATTCATATCGACTATAGAATAATTTTACATTAAACATGGCAGCCCCTACCGGAGCCATATCTGCACCATTAGATCCTTCAGCTCCATCATCGGCGGATACAGCAGCAGCAGCAGCAGCTACTTTATCATCACCAAAATCAATGGAACAATTAATGAATGAAATCGATCAATTAAAAAAAGATGTTGATACAACAACAAAAACCTTGGAAAAAATTGATACTGGACGAAAAAAAGCTGCTGCTAATCGTGATCGTTCAGTTGAAGGTCGTACACAAATTCGAGATTTAAATGAACGTCTTATTAATCTTCAAAAACAAATTGATGCAATGACAAAAGATTCTGATCCAAAATTTCCAGTAAAAAAATTTGATAAAACAAAAAAATCGGCATTAAAAACTTTATCAAGTCTATCAAAAGATCTTAATCAAGTTGATAAACATCTTGAAAGAGCAACTGGAACAATACCAGCAACTACTACATCTACAGGTGATCTTCAACCAGCTGCAACACCAGCTGATGGTCAACCTGTAGCTGCACCACGAGTATCAACTGAAACTGAAAATACAAAAGGAGTTGGAGCACTAATGAGAAAACTTCCATTTGGTGGTAAAAAGAAATCATCATCAAAGAAATCACATGATACTACGACACCAACAGCAACAGAACCTATTCATAAAACGGATGATGCAGCAGAAAAGAAGACGAAAGATGAAGCACGAAGTGATACTGAAGAAGAGGAGGACGAAGAGGAAGACGAGGAAGACGAAGAAGAGGAAAGTGATGATGATGATGTTGTGTCAGATAAGAAAAAAGGTAAAATAAAATTAAAATTTAGCAAAATTTCTTCATAATACATTAATTTTTTTTTGTTTTTAGTACCCGAGAAATCACCTCGATTATTAAAGAAAACTGAACCAATTATTATAAATCGAAAGAAAATAGAAGTATCTGATGAAGAAAGTGATCTAAGTGAAGATGATGATGAAGCTCAGGATGATCGTCAATTATTAGATGAACTTAAAAGTCAAACATTAACAGATGAAAATGGTAAAGATTTAACCGGTCATGGTCGTCGATCACGTTCACCTGCAACACCACGTACTAGTAAAAAAACATTAGGAGTTAAAACCGATCTTATACCATCTTCATCACCAAAAATTAAAAAACCAACAACAATAATATCATCACCTATACCAACACATAAAAAAATACAAAGTCCAAAAGGACGTACTGAAATTCCAATAGTTAAAAAAAAACGAGATGATGAAAGTGAAGAAGAAGAAGAAGAAGATTCTTATTTTGAAGAAGAAGATGAAGAAGAACTTCGACATTTACGTGAACCAGATGATCATGAAGAATATGTATCTGATCATGATTATGATGAACAAAAAGAAGAAGAAGAAGAAGAACAACCAACATTAGTTAATGCATATGTACAAGAACTTCGAACAAATAAATATTTACCAGGAACACAATTTATTGTTATACAAGATTCAATTGGTGAACAAACTGGTGATTTAACTATACATAAAAATGATATATTAACACTTGTTGAACAACGTTCAGATGATTGGTGGTTATTTAAAAATATTGAAACACAACAACAAGGTTTAGTACCAATTAATCTTATTCATTTGTTATCTAAACAACAAATACGACGACGAATAAAACCAACAACATCAGCAATAACACTTGTTAATGCATTTAAAGATAAAAATAATATTCCTACTGGTTTTGTACCATCAGATTTAGCTGAATTAAGTCAAATTGAACAATATCAATTATGGCAAAATCTTATACCAAAAATGACTGAATCAAATCTTGCTTTTACTGATCTTCATTGGCGTGCTGATACCGATAAATTACAAGTACATGATGTCATACATCAAAAAATTCTTACACTTAAAGAATGTGTTAAAATACCTCGAGTTAAAGGTGAACAGGTAAATACTTTTTTATATTTATTCAATACAAAAAAAAAAAAGAAGACGATTGTAAAACTATTTAAAAAAAAAAATCTAAGTCAAAATTGAATTATTTTCATTTTAATAATAAAATACTTTTCCTTTTTTTTCAATAATAGTTTGAATATATTTGGTATGTAATTACTTTTTTTCGCTCGATTGATTAGTACTATTTTTTTTTGCTGTTTGTTAAATTTTTTATAGTAAAAATTTTCATTTTCTATAGATTCGTGTTTTGGATCGATGTGTTCGTGTATGTCTGTATGATGGTGCTGACGTCATTTCGAATATTCATACTGTTCGAGCACTTATTCCATCAAAAATTGATGAACGAGATTTAACTGAAGATTGGCATTTTGTACGTAATGGTCCAAATACATTAATTGATGAACAACCTGAATTACTTATACGTTCAAATACATCAACTTCTGGTCAAAATCTAAAATTACTTATGGAATTATCATTATGGTGTCAATCAACAGTAACACAAGAAAAATGTGAAATTGCTTGTGGTTGGTCAACAGTTTCAATTGATGATGATGAACCACCATTAATAACAGATACAAAAAATTATAATGAACTTTTAAAAGGTGGAAATATAGATGAAACAAATATTTTACTTGATCCACAATATAAAATTCTTAGTTCAGATGGTATATCAGGTATGATTGATCGTTTTAAACGAGCACGTATTAAATTTTCAATTGAATCACGTGAAAGTGATGTTGATTTACTTTATGATAATTTACCAATACAATCAATTATTGTACCAATTAATATAATAAAACCTATTGTTTTTTTTCGTAATGAACTTGCATATCAATTATATAAACGTCAACATCCAACTAATTTATCAACAACACCAATTGATTCAATATTTTTAAGTACATTTTTTCAATCATTAAAACAATCTGATCTTATTTATACATTAAATCGTTTATATAGTGTAAGAAAACATCGTTATCTTACATCATCATCAAGTTTACAACAACAACGTAAATTATTTATAAATACATATGAATTATTTATTTATCCTCTTCTTCAATATCGACAATTACCAGTATATGACTTTCATGATAAAATAATATTAATTGAACGAAAAAATTTAATAAATGATTTAATTAAACGTTTATTACCAAGAAAAAAACATCCTGGAGATGATATTCTTTCATTATTACTTGATCCAAGTTTAACAGATAAATGGACACCATTTACAACAGATGAAATTAGTTTTTCATTACAAAAATATACTCATGATTTTACAAATGATATTGTAGCTTAGATTTTAGTGTATTGTAAAAAAAGAAGAAAAATAAATAAAACAAAAATTTGCATTATAAAAGTTCTCGTACAAATAGATGAAAATTGAATTATTTAAAAATGAGATATTTTATATAGAAAAAATCATTATCAGATTGTTTTTTTTTTCTTCATATGTATCAAAATATAAATTATTTATAGAACTAAAGATTGCTATTCTATAAGATTTATTTTGTTATCATGTTAAATATTTTCCTATCATATGTATTGTCTTATAGAAAATATTATATTCAATATGAGATAAATATCTTCAATGTTGCAAAGATTTTTTTTTTTTACAAATCTTTTCATATTTGTTTTGCAAGACATTCTATTGTCAAATTTTTATTCAATATTTTAGATTGAAAGCATTGGAAAAAAAAAATTTCTCATATTTCTCTAATCATTCTATCGAAAAAGAAATTAAGTAGGTGACAGGAAAAACCTTCAACTTTAATCTTGTTATGTAATCCTTTTGATTTCATGACATATCATTGATATTATTAAAAATAAATAATCAAGGTCTAAATAAGAGAAGCTTTCGCTAACAAATATCAAAAGAAAAAAAAAAAGATCAAATAAACAATAATAAATCGAGAAGTTTTTTACTATGATACTTATAACTATTTTTTGATTGCTTGAAAAATAACCAATTGAATAGAAGATTTATGTAATCAGCTGTTTGTTATTTGTAATCTGAAAATAATCGGTCAGTAATTCAAACACAAGTGAAAACAAGACAAAAAAGACATACATTTCATTTTTTTTTTCTTCTTATATATAGATATTAAAAAATCAATTCTGTCATTTGTCATAATATTACAAGAAGCAAAACAATATTAAAAAAACTTGATCGTTTCTTTTTTATTTTCAAAGTTTTATTCATTCAATTACCCTCCTTCCCTTATCCCAAATTAAATTTTGATGTTCATATATCTGTGAATGTCAAAACCTAGTGATAAAAATTCATCGATTCGCTTGAAACGCGATCATCCAAATAATTCATTTGACGAATCAAATTCATCAACAAAATCTTCGACATCATCAATAAAAAAATTAAAACATCAACATAATAATACTACAACAATTTCAATGGATAAAGAAACACATAATCGTTATTCAAATGGTTCATCATCTTTTATATCATCAAATTCAACTAAAAAACTTATTATTAAAAATTTAAAAAGTTCGTATAGAGAAAATTACTTTCTTTCTTCTCAAAAACTTTTATTTTTTGTTTTTACATATATTTCTTTTCTTTTATTAGCATCATCTCTTGTATTACCATCAGATTATTTTGATAAAATATGGCCATTACTTAAACAAGCATTAGAAGCTATACTTAATGGTACAATAAGTCCAACAAATGAAGAACAACTTTATCGTCATATTGATCATTTATGTACAACATCAACAAATGATACAAATACTTCACAACCAAATCTTCTCTATGATAATTTACGAAAAGTACTTGATGAACATGTACAAACATTTTTACCGACTTTATTAAAGTAATTTTTTTGTTTTTGATTAAAATTTTAGAAATAAACAAAAAAAATATATATGTTTTGTATTTTTAGTGAAATTAATGATAGTAATGATTATCTTCGTATACTTAATTCAATATGGAATGATCATATTATACGATCAGTAGGAAAATTTTTTTTTTTTTGTTTTTATTAATTTCTTTATTTTTAGAGTCTTATTCGTCAATTATTTATTGTACTTGATCGAACTTATGTTTTACATGCAGCTGTACCAAGTATATGGTATTAAAATTTATCATATATATATATATATTATTTGTTTTCAAAAAAAAATCTGGTTGTTTTTCTCTTAGGGAACTTAATCAAGATTTATTTCGTCGTTATATTATGCAAAATTCAATTATTTCAAATAGGTAAAAAAAAAAGAATTTTTTTTTTTGAGGTATATTGAATTTTTTTTAAAATTTATAGATGTATCAATGGTATTCTTAAATTAATTGAACAAGAAAGGCGAGGTGAAACAATTGATAGAAATTTAATTAAAAATCTTATTCGTATGTTAATTGATTTACATGTAAGTTACAATCTTCTTTTTTTTTTTTACTTATACTTTATTATTATTTTCGTACATTACACAATTCTCGAAGGTATTTGATAATAGCGAATGACTATATTCTATTTAGTTTTGTTTTGTTACTATTATATAAAAGTTGAATACCTTTGAATCATAGAGGTTCTACAATTTTAAACATTACCTAGAAGTAAAATAACAGTTCCGTCTCCGGTTTCAATTACTAAAAATAGTTCCGGTTCGTTTCCTGAAATAAACTATAGAACCGGAACTATTAACTTATTAGTTAGGTACGAAAATTTAAAAATCTATTTTGAGAAATTTTCATTATAAAATACTTAGGGCAAACCAAAAGTTCGTAGAACGGTTTTAAAGAATCTTGTCGGATAAGGTAAACTATTCAAAAATGAAAAACCAAATATACCATGTTGTAGGGCTTTTTGAGGTGCGTCGAATGGTATATAATAAATCCTGTTTTCATAAGACTTTGAAGAAACTAGAGTCAATTTACTGATAGACGACTACGCACCCACATTGACAAGATGACCGGAGCACAGATGTCCATCGCGGTTGAAAACTGACCGCTGCCGCGCCGCGACGATAAAAGAAAAAAGCTAACGCGCCGCTGCCGCGACGCCACCAAAAATAACCATGCCGCGATGATTGTTAGAATAATGTTGTGAATTTTACGATCTGTGACTGTTCAGGACTAGAGCTGTTGTTACCAATCGATAAGATTCGTTGAATCTCATAGTTTTGCACTTGCAAACATTGAAATTCTATTCGAATTCATGCATTTTTGCATTGTTCTCCAAAAAACCTACCGCTACCACGCCGCTGCCGCGATAGTTAGTTAAAAAACGACGGCTGCCGTGCCGCACCGCGATGGTTATTTGAAAAAACAACCGCTACCGCGCCGCCACAGCGGCGGTGGCGGTAGCGGCAGCGATCGCGCCGCGATGGACATCTCTGGACCGGAGATGCTACATATATGAAGTTGTAGCCCGTCAAAAACTCTGCAAAATCGTATGTGAGAAAAAATATTTTACAAATACTTTCGACTAATCCCAAGGATCACAATATTCAGTAACCTATCATACTTAGGTGAGGGTGTGAGTATGGATGCGTAGTCGTCTATCAGTAAATTGACTCTAGTTCGTTCAAAGTCTTATGATTTATTATATACGATTCGACGCATCTCAAAAAGCTCTACAACATGATATATTTGGTTTTTCATTTTCCGACAAGATTCTTTAAAACCGTTCTACGAACTTTTGGTTTGTCCTAAGTAGTTGAAATTAAAGATGCTATATATTGAAATATTTTATTTCAAGATCAGAAGAATAATCATCGAATTCTATTGAACGAAGGAGAGTTTAAACAAAGTTTTCTTTTTACATCAAAGAGTATAGATTTGATGATTGCGATAATATAAGAGACAAATTTCAGAATGTATTATTTGAAATTCTGATTTGTTTAGATCAATTTTTCTATAAAAACAAAAAAAAATGATCGATAGAAAATTTTAGTTTCTAAAAATAAATTTAAATTTAGTGAAACTGATAGTCGTTCAGAAATTTAATAAAAAAAACAAACAAAAATATCTCTTCTTTAACTTTCAAATGGAATGTTTCTTGCCTTATCACTTACTTATATCTTCAATTTATCCACTATCTGTAACAGAGATGGACAAAGTCGCACCGCGCCTCCCCGCGCCGTTGCTCACGCCTACGCTACACTAGTCTGAGCTTCTATGAGCGCATGCTTAGAGCATCCCGGTATTCGGTGGAGTTTGAGAAACTGATTGGTAGAGCAAAGAGAAAGAGAGATGTGCGTAGCGTCTAGGCGCAAGCAGTGGCGCGGTGCGATTTTGTCCATCTCTGATCTGTAACTATATAATAAGTGACATTTAGATTTGTTTTTAAAGGTTAATAGAAATAATTTTTCGAACGGTAAGTCGAACCTATTTTCGATTGTCTATCAAATCAAATTCAATAGGAACGATATTTTTGTTTCTTTTTTTTATGTAAAAAAAAAGATAATATTTATTTTTAGCTTTATCGAAAAGATTTTGAACCATTATTTTTACAATCAACTGAAGAGCTTTATCATAATGAAGGTCGTCATTTAATTCAAACATTAGAAATTAGTCAATATCTTCTACATGTTGAACGTCGTCTTCGTGAAGAACAAACACGATTAACAAATTATATTGATCAATCAACAAAGTAAAATAATAAATATTTTAATTTTTTTTTATGGTATATTAAATATTTATTTATTTATTAGAGTTCAACTTATTCATATTGTTGAAAATAATTTAATTACACTTCATATTAAAAATATACTTTCAAAAGGTTTTGATATACTTATCAATGAAAATCGTTATTCATCTGTTGCATTAATATATGATTTATTTTTACGAATTGGTCAAATTGGTATCAATGATCTTCGTGAAGCATTTGGAAATTATATAAAAGTAAAAAGAAAAAAAATATTTGTTTTATGTTTATTTTCTTTTTTTTAAGACATATGGTCGTGCACTTATAATTGATGTTACTAAAGATGATAAAATGGTTGATGAATTACTTGAATTTAAAGAAAAATTAGATCATTTTCTTCATGAATGTTTTCATAATAATGAAAAATTTTCTAATATACTTAAAGATTCATTTGAACATTTTATGAATCAACGTGTTAATAAACCTGCTGAATTAATTGGTTTGATATTTTTCTTTTTTTTTGGCATATTTTTATTATTTCGTTTTTTTTTTTTAGCTAAAGCTGTTGATGCAAGATTACGTTCTGGAAATAAAGAAGCATCAGAAGAAGAATTAGAAAAAATTCTTGATAAATTACTTATTTTATTTCGTTTTATTCATGGTAAAGATGTATTTGAAGCATTCTATAAAAAAGATTTAGCAA